CTTTAAAATGTATCTACCACCACCAGTCCTAGTACCACCCTAGTTCACCTACCGTTACCTTTCATGTGGACTTATTTCTATGACCTCCTGACTGATTGCCCTACTTCTCTTGCTTTCCTGCTGTCTGATCTCAGTATAACTTGGGTCAGAGTAATGCTCTTCAAATGAAATGAAGTCATGTCACTTTTTTTTTTTTCAGACAGAGTCTCACTATGTTGCCTTCGGTACAGTGCTATGGTGTCACAGCTCACAGCAACCTCCAATTACTGGGCTTAGGCAATTCTCTTGCCTCAGCTTCCCTAGTAGCTGGGACTACAGACACACACCATAACGCCTGGGCCAGGTTTGAACCCACCACCCTCAGTATATGGGCTAGCACCCTACCCACTGAGCCACAGGTAGTGCCCCTCTTCTTTTTGCTCAAAACATTCTAGTGGCTCCCCATCTCATTTAGAAATGTAGCAAAGTCCTATATGTAGTGTTAAAAGGCCCTCCATGATTTGATCTCTATTGCCTGTCAGCTAAAGTGGCCTACAGGCTATTTCTCAGATGCGCTTCTATTTCATGGCATTTGCATTTGCTGTTTCCTTTATATGGACAAAGTCCTCTCAGAGACCTGCATAGTTTGAGCCTTCAACTTGTTCAGGTCTTTTCTCAGATGTCAATGATACTTTCTATGACCATCTTATTTAAAATTATAACCCTACCCTTGGCACTGCCTACTGACCCTCAGTGGATTTCTTTATAGCATTAATTGCCATCTGATGTACAATAGATTTCTTTATTTTTATTCTTTTATTTATTTATTTATTTATTTGCAGTTTTTGGCCGGGGCTGGGTTTGAACCCGCCACCTCTGGCATATGGGGCCAGTGCCCTACTCCTTTGAGCCACAGGTGCCACCCAATAGATTTCATTTTTTAAAAAGTCTGTCTTTTTTCACCCTTCCCAACTAGACTGCAAGCAGGAATTTTTGTTGTTCTTGTTCATTCCTGTATCTCAATTCTTTTATCAAGTTTATGTGAAAGAAATGGCATTTAGGAAAGAAAATCTAAGACATGGTTTTCTAACTGGATTACAAAGTCTCCTAGAGAATTTAAATATATGGATTCCTGAGTACAGTCCCAGGAGAGCATAAAGGATCTTGTATACAACATCAAGGCGTCCAGATTTTATTCCCAAGGCTTTTAAAGAAGGGGGAGAGTATTGACTACAGTGGTATAGGAGAACTTTTTAGAGTGATGAAAATACTTTATATCTTGATTGTGGTGATGTTTGTATGCTGAATACATTTTTTTCTCTTTTCTTCTTTTACTTATTTTTCTTTAAGTGACAGGGTCTCAATCTGTCGCCTAGGCTGCATTATAGGCTGCATTGCAATGGCATAATCGTAGCTCATTGTAATCTCAAACTCCTAGCTTCAAGTGATCCTCCTGCCTCAGCCTCCTAAGTGGTTGGGACTATAGGCAAGCGTCATTAGCCTGGCTAATTTCTTTTATTGTTTGTAGAAATGGGGTCTTGATATGTAGCTCAGGCTGATCTCAAGGCCCTAGTGGTCCCTAGTGGTCTTCTGGGCCCTAGTGGTCCTCCCTTCTTGGGCTCTTGAGGTACTCGGATTATAGGCATGAGCCACTGTGTCTCACTAAATACATTTTTCATGGCCCATACAACTTTCTACCTAAAAGGGTAAATTTTACTGTACGTAAATTATAACTCAATAGACCTATCATTAAAAAACACATTGGGGCTGGGTATGATGGCTCAAGCCTGTAATCCCAACACTTTGGGAAGCCAAAGCAGGAGGATTACTTGAACCTCAGAGTTCAAGGCTACAATAAATTATAATTGTGCCACTTCATTCTAGCCTAGGTGACAGAGCGAGACCCTATCTTTTCCATTTTGAAGTTAGAAGAAACTGTTTCCGAAAGGTTGTGGTCTTACAGAAGGTATGTGTTAGTTCCAGGATTTGTCTCTGAAACTATTAACAGTATATAGAACCTGTTATAAAAGGTTGACCTTCTTAGAAACTAGAAACCCTGTTTTCCTTCAAGCAGCTTCCCAAAAGTGATTGTCATGTTACTACTCCAAATTTTGAACGCCTGGCAGATCTCATTTCTGTCAGTCATTAGTTGGGATAGGAATTGATACTGTTAAGTGCTGCCCTACCCGAAATCTCCTCTTGTAGAGGAGACTCTCACTTTGGAGCAGCAGGAGACAAGTTTCAAAGCTGATGAGTTTCTTTGATTATGAAAAGCAATTTTGTACTTGGTCCAATCAGTAACACAGAGTGTTTTCTCAGTAGGAGAGTGCTCAAATGTTTACAGGGCCAGTGGTGCTTCTTAGTGCTCATTTCAGTTCATTTTGTGCTGCTATTAACAGAATATCACACACTGGGCAGTTTATAATGAACAGAAATTTATCAGCTTATGGTTTTGGAGGCTCAGAAGTCTAATATTAATGTGCTAGCATCTGGTAAGTGTCTTCTTGCTGCATCATCCTATGGTGGAAGAGTGAAAGGGCAAATAGAGGGGAAGAGAGAACAGGAGGAGTCTGAACTTGCCCTTTTATAATAAACATCCTCTCAAGATAATGACATTAATCTGTTCATGAGGTCAGATTCCTTAAAGGTTCCACCTCTTACGATGGTTATTAAGTTTCCAACACATGCTTTTCGGGGGACATATTCAAACCATAGCAGTATTTTTTTTTTCAAAGACAGGATATAATTCTGTTGCCCTAGCTAGAGTGCAGTGGCATCATCATAACTCATTTTAACCTCCACTCCTGGGCTCCAGTGATCCTCCTACCTCAGCCTCCCGAGTAAGTGGAACTGATATGTGTCACCATGCTGGCTAATATTTCTATTTTTAGTAGAGATGGGGTCTTGCTGTTGCTCAGGCTGGTCTGGAACTCCTGGCCTCAAATGATCCTCCCACCTTGGCCTCCCAAAGTGTTAAGATTACAGGCATGAACCACCATGCCCAGCCCATGACAGCATTTTAACAGACTTCTTTACCCTGACTTACTAGCTAGAGAACTTGTTGGGTAGAAGAGAGATCACAGCAGGGAAAGTGTATAAGCAACCTTCTCTATTACTGTTGTCACATCATCCTGTATATCTTCATGTCACTTTCTTTTATAGAGTGTGATCTCTCTTAATTCTCTCAGTACCCTTTGAAGAGAATGTTTAGGGAGAGAGTATTACTTGAGTATACTTTTAGATAACTCTAGCTCTGGGAACACTTTTCTCCCTTAAGTTGAACTGAAATACAGGGGATGCCACTATACCCACATTTTAAAAGATCTTGTTGAAAGTCAAATCAAGGCTCAGTGCCTGTAGCTCAGTAGTTAGGGTGCTGGCCACGTACACCGGGATTGGCAGGTTCAACCTGGCCCAGGCATGCCATACAACAATGGCATCTACCAAAAAAAAAAAAATAGCTGTGCATTGTGGCAGGTACCTATAGTCCCAGCTACTTGGGAGATTGAGGCAAGAGAATCACTTAAGCCCAAGAGTTTGAGGTTGCTGTCAGCTTTGATGCACGGCACTCTACTGAGGGCAACATATTGAAACTCTGTCTCAAAAAGAAAGAAAGAAAGTAAAATCAACTATTCCCAAAGTGTACCAAGTGTAGGTAAAATGGATGTGTGTAACATGTCTAGGTACACTTGACTAGTAATGGTACCTTCAATTCAACTTGGAAAAGGAATACATAGATAACGTCACTTAAAACATGTATACATTTTTTCAGGCACCCTTTCTATATATACCTCTTTTAACTTTCATCTTTAAGTTGTTTTAGTTTTAGTTTGTAGTTTGAAGGTAGTTTTATCTAGCATGTTGCTTTAGTTTTCCAGGGCTGCACATTGCGTACATTTCAGGAAGTTCTAGCCTCTGAAATTGATCAGTGGCATTTCCCAATTTGCCTGTCTGATGACCCCAGCTTCTCCTTAGGAGCCTACCTTTCCTCCACCTCTCATTCCTAATTAATCACAGAGCAGTTGTTATCAAGCCGGCTGTTCACCTCCTGCCTTCAACATTTGACTTGTTTCCTATCCTGAAGTGCTACAGGAGAAGTTAATGACCTAAAAAATTACCCATCTGTCATGTGAACCTAGTTAAGAGGGAATTGTTTGATTTTTATGAAGTGTAAATAATATATTTGGAGACATGTTTTCAAATGTTTGTCAACCTATGTGTAAGAAATGGTTCCATAAACAAGATGGGATAAATTGGCTGGCTGATAGAGCTTAATGACAGATTTTCCATTAATCAGAATGGAGAATGTGCTTCATTAAGGTAATTAGCAGAACATGATACTTACTGCACACAAATTTCCAAGTTTATTTCTTTCCCTTGAATAAATTTGAAGAGCAATACTGGCGGTGTTTCATTGTTTGCATTTAGATGATCAATAGCAACAAATTCCTGTGGTTTTTTTTTTTTTTTTTAAAGCTGTTGGTAACTAGTATCTTGTCCTCTGCAGGTACAAGGGGCAGGTGAGATAATTGCTGCTGTTTCTTCCAGCAATCTATATGCTCATTACCAGGCACCCAGGTTCCATCAGGGAGTGAACTGATGCTGCTCTTAGACTAGCAACATCAGTTAACTAATAGAAAGGACCTCAGAGATTTTAAACTAATTCATTTTATATCAGAACACTGAAGTCCAGATAGCAGAAAATGACTTGGCCAGTGCCACACAGTATGCTAGTATGAGAGCTATCTGTGGGATAAAGGGACTAACATTAAACTGAGAACCAATGCCTGAGTTAACATTAGGCAAATTATATAACTTCTCTGCTATCCTGGATCTTCATCTGTAAAGTGGGGAAAATATTTAGCATAGGGCCAAATATAAATAAATGGGCTTTTTGTTTAGTCCTTTTTCTGCTATACCGTTATATACTTTTAAGCATAAACTGAAGATTACAGAGGAGAAGCTGATGTCTGAGAGAATGAACAATCTATAACCAATGCTGTTTCATTTTTTTTCTGTAGGATCCTCAGTCTTCCACAATGAACCCTGTTTACAGCCCCGTGCAGCCTGGGGCTCCTTATGGCAACCCTAAGAACATGGCTTACACGGGTGAGTGATGTGAGAATGGCTGTCATTTTGAGAAATGGTGGTTCAGGATTTTACCAAATAACTTGCCGATGACTTTTTGTGTATAAAACACCTAAAGAATACTTTAGGAGGTACATATTATACTTCCAAAAGTCCTAGCAAAGCTTAAGAACTTGGAAAAGATGTCTGGGGTATAGCAGAGTTGGAAATGACATTTTTGAAACTAAGGTTCATTGAATTTTTACCTAGTATGGAAGAAAGGAGGTAACAATTATTTATTGAGTATTTACCATGGGTCTGGTCTGTGCTGGGTGCTTTCACATACCTTATCTCACTTTAACCTTAAAGCAGTTCTGCACTGTGTAGCTTATCACCATTTCATACGTGAAAGAATCATAGAAGCCACAAAGCAAAACGAAATTAGATATTTGAAGCCAGGTCTGATGATTCTGAAAGTTAATCTTTTTGAACCACATACCAAGCCGTTTCCTACTTCTGCCTTTATATAAATTGTCATTTTGTGTGGAATGCCATTTCATCTGACAACTTCACCTTTTTCCTTAAGAACTCAACCCTGAACCCTGCTTTTCCAGAAACCATTCTCTGTCTTGACTTTAGGCAAGTTTTCTAGTGTCCCAGAGCCTGGGGGTTCTCATGTGTAAAATGAGGGCAGTCCTGTTATCTTAGTTCACAAGGCTGCTGTAAGAATTACATGAGCTAGTATAAGTCCCTCAGCAAATAATACGTGGCACAAAGTAAGTGCTTAATAACAGTTATTATTATTTACAAATAAATAAAAGCACATAGGATGTATGGCGATGGAAGTGAATGAGAAACTTATGTAAATTATCTCACATGGTGCTTAACACGTCATAAGCCTTCAAAAATATTGACAAGTATAAATCAAGGTAGAAGTAACAGTATAAATAAACACATAGAGGCAAGAAAAGGCCAATTCTTGACTATACAGAATGTAGGTAATACTTGAGTTTGATTGGAGTGAAGAGTGGAAAAGGGGATAAATGGGATAGGAGGTTTGAAAAGTGAATTAAAATTTTGGTGGTGGGATTGGAGGTAAGGGGATGGGAGAATTTTGCCCCAGAAGAGAGTCATTGGCAGTGGAGGGAAGATGCGGAATGTACCATTTTCTCTTCCTCCTGTACTTGGCTGTGTACTGCATAGCCTCCTGAGAGTAGAGGGATCTCAGAGACTCCATTAACTGGTTGTTTCCAAACTTTGTTTTTATAATAACACTAGGAAGAGAATCCTTGATTTGAGTTTTTAAAAATACAGAGAACTATTTTTATAAAACACACATTCATTTAAGGGGATCAGTGTGTTACCTTAAGCTTTGAAGAATGCATTTTTTTTTCAATTGCTATTATTTATAGCTGCTTATGGTTTTTTGTTTTTTTTTTTTGAGACAGAGCCTCAAGGTATCCCCCTGGGTAGAGTGCCTTGGCATCACAGCTCACAACAACCTCCAACTCCTGGGCTCAAGTGAGTCTCCTGCCTCAGCCTCCCAAGTAGCTGGGACCACAGGCACCCACCACAACGCCTGGCTATTTTTTGTTTGCAGCCGTCATTGTGGTTTTGGCGGGCCCGGCCTGGATTCGAACCCGCCACCTTAGGCGTATGTGGCTGGCACCTTAGCCACTTGAGCCACAGGCGCCAAGTCTGCTTATGTTTTTAAATCATGATTTTCTCAGTACTATGCAACTAAATCAGCACGCAGAAGTATATTGGGCCCTATCTCTCCTAAATGAGCAAATGAAAAAAACCCCAAAGGAGGGCAGCACCTGTGGCTCAGTGAGTAGGGTGCTGGCCCCATATACTAAGGGTGGTAGCTTCAAACCCTGCCCCAGCCAAATTGCAACAAAAAATAGCTGCATGTTGTGGCAGGCACCTATAGTCCCAGCTACTTGGGAGGCTGAGGCAAGAGAATCGCCTAAGCCCAAGAGCTGGATGTTTCTGTGAGCTGTGACACCACAGCACTCTACTGAGGGCGACAGAGTAAGACTGTGTCTCTAAGAAAAAAGAAAGAAAAAAGAAAAAACCCAAAGGAATCAAAGAGATAAAAATTATTTTAAAAATTTCAGCTCGGCGCTCATGGCACAATGGTTACAGCACCAGCCGCATATACCCGCTGGCAGGTTTGAAACTGGCCCAGGCCAGCTAAGGCAACAATGACAACTGCAACAAAAAATAACTAGGTATTGTGGTGGGCGCCTGTAGTCCCAGGTGTTTGGGAGGCTGAGGCAAGAGAATCGCTTAAGCCCAAGAATTTGAGGTTGCTCTGAGCTGTGATGCCATAGCACACTACTGAGGGCCACATAGTGAGACCCTGTCTCAAAAAAAAAAAAAATCATTTAAAAAGAAGAAATATATTGGAGGTTGAACCCAATTCAGCTGTAGTTATTATCTCTAACTTTCAGTTTCATGTTTGTGTTTATCACAATAGTTTCATTGTCCTTATTATTTAAAGTTAAAAATAAATATTTCTTGTTTGAACTTCTATTGTGTATTTATTCTAATAAAGTTAATTTCTAATAACAAAGACCCATGGAGCAGTAGTCCATACCTTACTATCTCAGAAACTTGTTGCTTTTCTTTTACTTTTCTTATCTTTTTTTTTTTTTTTGAGACGGAGCCTCAAGCTATCCCCCTGGGTAGAGTGCCATGGCATCACACTCACAGCAACCTCCAACTCCTGGGCTCAAGCGAGTCTCCTGCCTCAGCCTCCCAAGTAGCTGGGACTACAGGTGCCCGCCACAACGCCTGGCTATTTTTTGGTTGCAGCCATCATTGTTGTTTGGCGGGCCCGGGCTAGGGATTCGAACCCGCCACCTTAGGTGTATGTGGCTGGCTCCTTAGCCGCCTGAGCCACAGGCGCCAAGCCCTTTTTTGAGCTTTTTGCTTTTCACTTTCTCAGTTCAAGTTATTTCAGCACCCTGAGTTCTTTGCTAGAGGGGACTGAAGCTGCTTTAGCAGACAGAGCCCAGGGGAATCCTGCCTGGCTTTGGTTTCCTATTTGCAGTGATCTTGGCTGCTTTCATTCTCAATGAATTGCTAAACTGGAGAAGGAAGAGAACAGTTGCATATATCTATTGACTTGCACAAAGATTAGACAGTGTTATGTACTGAAAAGGGAACAGAACTTGTCTCTGTTAGGCATATAGTAAAACTTGGTAATATATTTTGATTGAATGAACAACCACCAAGTTTAAATACAGCTCTGTCAGAAAGTAGCTGGGTGACTTTGGACAACTTGCTCAACTTCCCTAAACCTAATTTCTTTGATAAACTAAAATATTATCTAGGAGGTGTCCAACTTTTTTGGCTTCTCTGTACATCAGAAGAAGAAGAGTTGTCTTGGGTCACACTTTACATACAAAAACACTAACAATAGTATAAGAGGGGGGAAAAAAGTATAATCTCCACCGTCACAAATAACAAAAAAATCCTCACATAATTTCCATGTGGCCCATGGGCTGCAGGTTAGATACCTCTTTACAGGGAGGGAGGATTTTTTTTTTTGTTTCTACTAATCACCAAGGACTATTACCAGCCTAGAACTGTGGAATTTTTTTTAGTATTTGAATTTAATTTTCTGGTGGACAAATTTACATATCTCCCTCACCCTTTTCTTTAAGTTAGTGTGACTTAATCTCCATAATAAACTACTTAAAGAAAACTTTGGGCAAGCATGGAATGAAATAGCCAAAGATAAAAAAATCGCTGCTGCTTTTAAATAGACACTTGAGTGATCCTATTCTGATGCAGCATCTCCAAGGCTGCATTGTGGTCCTCAGTTATGGCTCTCTTGTCCATGTTGCGCTGGATGATCTGTTTTGGAATGTCTAACTTGGACTTAAAGCTTAAGCAGCCTCAGGCCATCATAGTTAAAGAGCATTGGGCAGCAGTCATGGCAGCAGCTGCAACACTATTCTATAAGACAAATGATAACATTCAGGAGTGGCAGGAACTCTGTTTTCAGAGTTGAGACTTGTACACTTTTTGAGGCAACAGCAACAGTTACTATGCTGTCATGACTGATGTAGGCCAGGTGGCTCGCACTGGCAGAGAAGCTGACCCCATGGACCCAGTTGCCTGCGCCACTTCCCCAAACTCTTATATGAGCTGACCAAGAGGTGTCTTCCTACCCCAGGTCTGACCGGCTTTTCATCCACTTCTTTAATATAAGTGTAAAACACTGCATTTGAAGTCATATGATCCCGCTGCCAGCAAAACATTGTTGGGATACCAATCCAAGCTAAGGACTGTGGAGCAAATTGGCTTTTTAATGTGCTTGCTTACCCACCAGTCATTTTCAGACTCAAAGTAACAAAACAAAAATGAGTCGTGCTCCACTTCCACAGCAAATTTGTTCTCCAAGGGGGGACCACTTCACAAAAGTGGCTGTGCAATTAATTCTCAGGATCACCAGGATTGGCTTTCAGACACCATTTTTCTAATTATAGACATAGGCATTGCAGTATACCCTGCAAGTGCCAATGCAGTTGCTTTTGGGATCTAGTCAATACCTGTGACATGTCCCTTGTGCTCCTCGAGTTCATGAGCTCTCACCCACTGGCTCCCATTTTTCTTCCTTTCTTTTTCAGTTTTTGGGGCTGGGTTTGAACTGGCCACCTCCGGCATATAGGGCTGGCTGCCCTATTCCTTTGAGCCACAGGCGCCTCCCCCATTTTTCTTACAGATGTGAACTTCATGATTATTGTAGCTAAGAGCAATTTGGGTATGATCCCTGTTCCAGGCATGACAGGTGGTCAACTCTAGTAAAAACTGATGCAGGAGAAGTTCTCTTGTCCATGTTGTGGAAAAATTCCATGGTAGACATGTTGCACTGGAACTCTGGATTATTCTTACTGTTCCATGGTAGAACATGTTGCGCTGGAACTCTTAGATTATTCTTACTGTTCCGTGGTAGAACATGTTGCGCTGGAACTCTTAGATTATTCTTACTGTTTTCAAAGAATAGAAAGCTGGGAGAGGGGGAGGCT